TGGTAATTTGTTACATGACCATAAAAATTAACACACATGTTAAGAGTAAACATTGGATGGAAGAGCAGTGATGTCAGCAGATGGGCCCAGGCTTCTTCCCATTGTGATCTTAGGGTTCGCAAACACAGCAAGAAAGGAAGCAGATGAGAACTGTTTTACCTCAGTGTCCTAAAGATCATAAAACATGACAAGTGAGAAATAAAACAGGCCTTGGTTTATTTGGGGGAGCAAATGCTTTTCTAAGTATAGTAGGACACTATGGGATACTTTTAAAATAGAGCATTCTTATGATAGTATTTATTTTTAAAAAAATTGGTGATTGTAGTTGGGCTGTGAGGAGCAAGGAATACAGTCAGCTGGGTAAAGTGAATCCTGGAGTAGTCTTTGGTTAGTGCAGATTGTTGAAAACATAAGCATATGGTACTCTATTTTGGAAGTAATGACAATGAACCTCCCAGATGGGAGAAGAGGAGGAAAGAGAGGGATTAGGAGTGACCTGGAGGTTTTTACCATATGCTATTCTTTTGTGATTTACTGATGCAAAATGGATTTGGGACCTTCTAAATTAGGGGTAATATAAGAGGAGTTTGTGAATGTTGCTCACTTCGGGATTGAGAGGACAATAAACACGCAGATTAAGTGGACGCGTTTGCAGGTGAGTAGAGTTTGGGGTATGAGGGAAAAAAATACATGCAGGTGGTCAGCAGTGCTTAGAGGGAAATTTATGGTAATACGCATGCATCTATGCATGTGCATATTGTTATAATTCAGATGTTTGTCCCCTCCAAACCTCAGGCTGAAATGTCCCTTCTGTTGGAGGTAGGTCCTGAGGGTAATGTTTTTGTTATGCAGGCAGATCTCTCATGAATGGCTTGGTGCCCTTCCCAAGGCAAAGAGGGAGTTCTCACTATATTAGGTGACTCTAGAGCTGGATGTTTTAAAGAGCAAATCAAAACCACAATGAGATACCATCTCACACCAGTTAGAATGGCGATCATTAAAAAGTCAGGAACAACAGGTCTGGAGAGGATGTGGAGAAATAGGAACACTTTACACTGTTGGTGGATGTAACTAGTTCAACCATATGGAAAACAGATGAATTCCTCAAGACTAGAACAGATGTACCATATGACCCAGCCATCCATTACGGTATATACCAAAGGATTATACATATGCTGCTAAAAACAATGCAACAAGTTATTGGGCACTATCAAATAAAAATTGGAATCAACCAAATTCATCAGTGACAGATGATAAGAAAATGTGGACATATACACCAGGAATACTATGCAGCATAAAAAGGATGATTGTATCCTTGTAGGACAGGATCAGCTGAAACCATCATCTAGCAAACTATCACAAGAAAAAAAAAACCGCATTCACCATAGGGGGAATGAAAATGAACACTGACTCAGGAAGGAAATAACACCGGGCTATCATGGGGAGGGGGAGGGGGAGGGATGCATTGGAGTATAATGTAATGAGAGTGATGGCAGCACACCAACATGCACAAGTATACAAGTAACAAACTCAGTTATGCACATATCTAGAACTTAAAGTATAATAATAAAAAATTAATTTAAAAAAATAATAAAATAAAGAGCCTGGCACCTCTTCCTCGCTCTCTTGCTCTCTCTCTCTCACCATGTGACACTCCTGCTCCCCTTTCTTTTCTGCAATGATTAAAAGCTTCCTGAGGCATCACCAGAAGCTGAACAGACACTGGTGCCTTGTTAGTACAGCTTACACAACCATGAGCCAAATAAGCCTCTTTTCTTTATAAATTGCCCAATTTCAGGTATTCCTTTATACTAATTCAAAACAGACTAATACAGGCATGCACATACATATGCATTTGTACATATATACATCAACGTGTGTATGTGTACAACTAAAAGCATCAAATCAATAATCTCAACATTCACCTTATGAAACTACAGAAACAGGAGTGATTTAAATTAAAGGATTTAAAACCTGAAGAAAAGAAATACTAAAAATTAGAGCAAAAATTATAACATTAAAAACAGAGAAGGAATAGTGAACACCAAGCAAACTAAAAGCTAGTTCTTTGGAAAAAAAAAAAACTATATGGTTTATGTTCCAAGTGTTTGAAAATTTTCTGATTATATTTTCAAGATCGATTTCTAGTTTGATTTCTCTGTGGTCAGAGTACACACTTACTATAATTGTAATTATTTTAAATGTGTTGAAGTGTTCTGTGGGCAGGATACAGCCTATCTTGGTACATGTTCTGTTGGCACTTGGAAAAGTTTGAATTCCACTATTGTTGTTTGGAGTGTTCTATAATTGTCAGTTTGATCCTGTGGGTTTGATGATGTTGTTGAATGCATCTTTATCCTTGCCAGTTTCTGATTAGTTGTCCTATCAATTGCTGAGAAGAAGGATTAAATTCTCCAAGTGCAATTTTTGTTTATTTGTTTGTTTTTGTCACATGCACTTTGTTGCTCTGTTGTTTGGTGCATACACATTTAAAGTTGCTTTGTTTTCTTGTAGAACTCTTTCTTCTTCATGTAATATACCTTTCTGTCCCTGGTAATTTTCTTTGGCTCTGTAGTCTATATATCTGATATTGATATTAATGACTTCTGATTTCTTTTTATGAAACTTAGTATGGTATATACTTTTTCTTTCTCTTGTATTCAACTTACTTGTACTGTTATATTTGATGTGAATGTCTAATAGACAACATAGAGTTGGGACTTTTCTTATAGATTCACCAATCTCTGTCTCTTTTCAAATTCCATAGTTTATATATTTAATGTTATTATTTTAAATTTTAAGCCTGCACTTTGGGGTTTTTTTCTGGCTAATCTTTTCTGTTGATCTGTTTTCTTATTTTTATTTCTAAAATTTCAATTTTTCCTTGGTTACATTTTGTATTTTCTTCCTGATGCTTTCTATTATTTCATATTATTCAAGCATGTTTGCAAATGTTCTGTGATGCATTTTTATAATGGCTGTTTTAAAATCCTTTCAAGATAATTTTTACACACTTATTAGGTAGAGGTTACTATTTACTGATTGACTTTTTTCACTCATGTTGAGGTTTTCCTTGTTTGGGGTATGAAGAGTGCTTTTTGATTGATATCTGGACATTTTGGATATTGTGTTATGGTGCCAGCTTGAAATTTTGAACATCTAACAAGCTCCCTTATGTATATAACTGCCGTGGCTGCTGGACTGCAAAGAGGCAGATTTTTAATCAGATAAAGTATTTGCTATTCTACTTCTACCTACAAGTATCCTAGTGTAATTTGTATACCTGTAGCTGCCCGGATTTCGGTCGAATATTTTTAATCAACTGAACTAGGGTCAGAGCAGACAACAATAATTTTAATGTGGCTATGGTTACCTTGAAAATAGTGATTTGTAGTTTCCAGATCTGCAATCAAAAACGAGCATACATGAAAGATGCGGCTGAGGGAAGTATATCATAGGACACAATACTGAAAAAAAAAAAAAAAAAGTAGCATGTTGAGCCCTGGAGTCTCCTGCTTTATAAGTACTCCTTCTGGAAGATCTGGAGCTGTGGCTTGGCCACCCATTAGTACTGGATTTACTTAAAGATGTTTTCCCTTTCTTACTTCCTTTTAATTATTCCCAATTTTACTTTATATTAACGTGTGGACAGTCACCGTCTGATTATGACCTGTGTTCTTCACTGTCCCTCAGTCCAGACATACTTCTAGACATTCTCCTCTCACCAAAGAAGTGGTAGAAAACTATCACTACATGTTGGCTCTACTATTTAACTTTGTTAAAATAGATAATTATTTGGTTGCCTTTTTCTGTACTTGCGGGAGGAACCCTGCATTACCATAGGTTTAGGATTTCCTCTTGTGTTCCCAACTAGAAGCATCCACTCCTGGTTATCAGGACCTGTGGTGAGCAGGGTCTAGAATGGCATAACTGGAAACATGTATCCCCCAGCTGTGTTCCTGTGAATGATGATTAGAGAATTTGCTCCTACCTTTGTCCATTTGCTTCCTGGATCATTCATTCAAGCTCTCATGGTCATCTGTTTAAAGATTCATCATTGCTTGAAGGAAAGCATCTAAAGTTTGCAGAATGTTATACCCACATGGACATCTTTGGATAATGTATTTGGTAGGATGAATGGACACCATAATCATGTGTCTAGAATTTCCCTTTTCCCCCAAAATATAGATTCCTGATTTGGAAAGACTTCCGTGTCAGAAAAGTGTACACTCTCTGAGCACTAGAATAGCTAATTATCTGTGGGCAGGAAAAGCAAACATGTATCTAGAATACAAAAGAATCCAGGTGAAGATGCATCACAGTCACCTCCAGGGGAAAGTGCTCTGGTATCCCAAATTATCGCTCACTTGTTGATGACACTTGTCTCAACTGCTGAGAAGTCAGATTCCCAGAAGTGGCGATAGTGGGATCAATGCAGCTGGAGATGGTAGTGGTAAGACATGGTTCATATCATTGTGTAAGTGCATAGTGCCCCCCAGGTCTTTATGGCTACTTTCTTTAGGAATCTATTATGCAAATACTAAGGAAGTTAAGAGAAAAGGCTGGATACAGTTAATCTGCATAGTGGCAGATGAGTCTTCCAGTATGGATGATTCCTTGATGTCTTATCTGTGCCAATATTTTCTGCTGTATTGACATAATAAATTAAATTCTCCGCCATAATTTTTTCTCACATGAGTGCATCTCCATGCCTCTTCTCTAGAGCTTCTTGTCTCTGATTGTTCAAGCTTCTTTTCCAGGACCTTGGCCAAGCAGCTATTCAGGAATCCATGTGTATACTTGACTCAAGACACTTCTTTATCCACATAATTGGATGAAGATATGCTCTGCTCAAGTCCATGCTAACTCAAGGGAATGTTTCACAGCCACCTATGATTGTGGCCATTGTGTGAGCACAATCCACATTACTTGCACAAATATATGGTGCTAATCTATTCAAGAAGAAGCCTAGCTTGTTTTTTTTTTTTTTTTTGTTTGTCTTTTTTTTTTTTTTTTTTTTTGGTACTCCCCTGTCTAGCTGATTGGGGAAACCCATGAGGTCATAGGAGTGAGCTGATGCAGAGGTGTTAGGGTGAGAGAAGGAAGTGATACAGGGAACTTGAGCACCTGTCCATGGAAAAGAAACAGCTTAAATTCAGTCCCCAGAGTAACATCTCCATTCTAATGTTGAGTGGTGCTGAAACTTACCTGACCTTAAAAATTGGTGAGAATGACATTCCCAGTTTATGAGGGGCAGTTTAGCCACACAACTACTTAATTCCTCATAAGCATGTCTATCAGGACCCTGTGACATTATGGAAGCTTCATTTTGAACAGTACAGTTTTGGGGTTTCGATTTCTTTCCTTGTTTTCTGGGCATTTCATGGTCTTGCTCTAGAACCCTAGAGATTTCTGCTGTGACTGTTTTTTTTTTTATTTTGAAGTTTGCAAGAGAGTTCACAAAGTGCCCCTATCTAATGCAGATGCATCTAGCACCAAGCTGTGTGCTGGATCATTTGTCTCAGGTGACAGAGCCACTTGTATCAAAACCCAAAACCTGCATCAAAACCTTTCCCTTCTCTGAGCTAACTCCAAAGAGATAGCCTTCCAAGTTAGTTTAATAAATGGGATGATGTAGTTGACCCAGGCATGGAATTTGTTGTGTCAACACTCTAGTGAGGCCTTATCAACACTGTGCTGCATTCTCAGTGGTCGGAGATGTAAGGTGCAATTATTTGTCCTTGCCTTGAAGAGGATGACTCACATTCCTTTCCTAAAGATGACATCTTCCCCAGTATGACAGGCTTTTCAAATTTGGGGGATTGCTTTTCACCCTCTAGAGCACATGTGTTTTCACAATAAATCCAGAGTCCTTATAATGTCCAGTTCATCATGTCTAATCAAGATGGTGACATCAATATAGTGCTATATAGAGTGATACTTTGTGAAGTGTCCACAGGATCAAAGTTTCTTCAGCCCTCATTGTGACAAAGAGCAGGAGAGTTAACAAAGCCCTGGGCCAAGACTGTGGATGTGAGTGGCTGTTCACCCCAGATGACTGCAGACCCTCCCACAGGCTGTGATGGACTCTGCCTTCACTCTGCAGGTGGGCCCTGGGTGTGGTCAAGCCCTGCTGGAGCCACAGCATCGCTCATCTGCAGGTGGCAGCTGAGGGCGCCTCTCACCCTCACAGAAGGGGCGGGGAGGGCACTCTTCTGACAACAGTGATGTCTGTGTATTTAAACCCATATGGGGTCATCCTCATAATTGCATATATCATTCTTCTTACATTGAAGTGGTCCTATATGTTATAACAGACTATTTCTCAGAATGTGGCATGAGCAAAACTGACAAGTCAAGGCAGCAAGATGTTGCCATCACAACTCCTTGGGTTTCTGCTGCTCTGGGATCTAGGTGAGAATATTTCCACAAAGCTAGATGGGGATATAATTTCAATCCATAATTTTGGGAACCCTGCACTGTGTGAATTTTGGTTTGCTTTTTATATCCACAATTTTAATTCATTTTCTTTCCTGTTGCCTAACTACATTAGTGGTGACTTCCACATACATAGAGTTCTGCTGTGCTAATGTTTGCTGTGTATTTTCAGTCTCCAGGTGTGAGGTTGTGCTGACCTAGGCTCCAACCTTCCTGTCTGTTACTCCAGGGGAGACAGTCACCATCACCTGCTGGGTGAGTCAGGGCATTGGCAACTACTTACACTGGCACCAGTAGAAAGAAGATCAGGCCCCAAAGCTTCTCACCAACTATGCTTCCCAGTCCATCTTGGGGTGCTCCTGGAGGTTCAGTGGTAGTGGATCTGCTACTGACCTTGCTTGTTACTCCTACAAACATGTTTTTCCATGTCCAGTTGGCCTTTTTTCAACTATAAAAGTAGTTAAATATCTTTAGTTAAGGGAAACGCACCATATTTTTTTCCAATAAAGTAGAACAAACATAGTTTTTCATTTAATAAAGTTTCACTTAATGTCAGCATTTTCAGGAAGAAGTAAAAGCCACCAGTGAAGGTTAGGTGCACATGAGTAAAGAGGACAGTTTTGGGTCCCAAGTACTGATATTTAGTAGGGGAAAGAGTCACGCAGGAAGAATAACCGCATAATAAAATTGCATAGAATAATTTATGTAGTTGACACATTGTGTAAAAACCAGGAATGGTATGTGGTGTCTGGAGGCTGAGGCCATTTATTTGTGCTGATCAGGAAAGGCCCCAGGGTCAGAGTGAAGATTCATCTCAGTGGTGAGGAGGCAGCCAGGTGACCACAGAAACAACAAAGACCACAGGATCATTATAGGAAGGGCAGGGACCACTGTGCACTGAAAAAGTCAACAAGATCTAAAATAATCAGATGCCTTCTGTGATTTTCATTCCCATAAAGTTAAAATTTACTGTAATATCGTATATCATACACCTTGGTCTGGGTCACATCCATGGCATAGAATGTTCCCTGGTTCAGAATTCGGAAGGCCAGGTCTTTCCTTTGTTGACAGTTGGCAGGTTTCCCAAAGCCCTTCCCCACCACTCAAGCCCTTATCACTGGGTCGGTCTCTGCCTCTGAGTTGGGATCACCATAGGCAGGGGCAGCACTGGACACTGGATATGGGGCTCTGGCCCTCTGCATTGTAGTTCCCTGGTTTCAGCTATGGGGCCTCCATGTGACAGGGTTCATCTGTCCCATGGAACAATGGCTCAGATTGAGGCCATTGTTCAGGGAGCCCAGCATTCACCGCCTACTTGATCAGTCAGCAGGACTCTGCTGGGAAGCCTATGGAGAGGGGCATCATTAACTGGGGAAGATCTGTGTTTTGTTTCCACCTCGGATTCTATGGGCAAGTATGTGGGCCCCAGTCTCCAACTTCCCAATCAGTGTCTCCAAGAGAGGCAGTTTCTATCACCGGCCTGGAAGGAGCAGAATCCAGGGAAGGTTCCTGAGATCCACCCATGTGCTCTGTCTACCTTGGCCATGGCCCACCCCAGCTTGGTACCCTGGTCCTGGGACACACCTTTGCTTAACAGTTAGAAGCTTGGGTGTCCCAATGACATTACTAGTTATTACTGTCTACAGCTGTGCTGTTTCATGTGGTAAACACTAGCAGTGCATAGCCACAAACGTGTCAATTAGAAATACTTAAAATTAGAAATGTAGCTTCTCAGTTACATCAGGAACATTTCATGTGCTCAGTAACCACATGTGACTAATGACTAGCCTATTGAACTTCAGAAATATAGACATTTTCATCATCTTACAAAACGACTTTGCTTAGCACAGACTTAAATGATGACATCTGATCACTCGCAGTGCTATAGCTGACAGCACAAACCTCAGCAGTTGTTCTTTTGGAAGATCAGGTGGCCCCGGATGCTTCCTCAGCTGGGAAAGCTACTGTGGTTCTCAGAGCTGCTCTGGAAGTGGTTCTGGGATGGGAGGAATGAGGCTGGGTTGACAGATCCAAACCAGGGGCCTTCAGCTTCTCACCCAAGTCCCTGCCATTATGCCCTACAGGGTTCTTTACAACCCACTCTTTTTTCCAAAACCACATCTTTGGCATGTCACATGGATCCCAGAATCTAGCCACCCTAATTGTTTTGTGACAAATATTTTTCCTGCATACCGTTTGTCCTCAACTAGATGACTGGTTTACTGAGGGGAGGGACCATTTCATGTTTTCTACAAAATCTGTCCTAGTGATGGATGTCATAGGATCAACTCCATGAATACCCATGAAAAGATTTCATCCATAGTCAACACCCATTGGACCCTAGAATCTAAAATCCTGTAAGATGCTATGTTAGAAAGTGGCCAATAGATGGCAGACAAACACCATAATAAACAAAAAATAGACCCCCTGATCTTAAAAGTAATGAGGAAGTGAAAGTGATCATGTCCCCTTAGGGACCCGGAGCCCTAAGGCTGGACTGGGGTCTCCTGCGTGACATGGTTCGCCTGGGAGGAGCTGCCAGTGAGTTTAGTGATGGGAAATCTCTGTGCTCTGAGACCGGAAGCCTGATCTGGCCCCTCCCTACCGCCTTGGCTGTGTCCCCAAACCCCTCCGCTTATGGACTGAACTGTGTTTCACAAATTCCGATTTGGAGTCTCTTACCTCCAGTATGGTTGCAGATGGAGAGAGTCTATAAGGAGGTAATTAGGGTTAAAGAGGTGATCAGGGCGGGATCCTGACACCACAGGATTAGCGTCCTTATGAAGAGAGACACCATAGAACTCTGTCCCTCCCCCACCCTCCCTGTGTGCCCTGAGGGACAGTCATGTTGGGACATGGCCAGAAGGTGGCATCTGCAAATTAAAGAGAGAGTCCTCATCAGAAAGAAAACCTTTCTGGACCTTGATCTTGGACTTTCCAGGCTCCTAAAGTGTTAGAAATAAATGTCTGTGGTTTAAGCCATGCAGCCACATCGATTTTGGTGTCAAAATCCCTGCAGACTCATCCACCCTCCCCACCCACTCTGAGCAGGATCAGCTTCAGGAGGCCCTCCTGGACATGAGGCCCCACTTTGCTTCTCCTGCTGCTGTTCTGACTCTCTGGTGAGGAGGGAGGACTCCGGCTTCATCCTCAGTTTGTTTGCATTAAGCAGAAAGACTTACTTGTTTTCAGCCTGTTTTGCTTCCTGATTGAAATTTAATCAAATGGAATGAACTACTTCTTTGGTATTAATATTTGGGAATGTTCATGTTTGTTCCTCACTCAGATGCCAGTGGCAACATTGTGTGGACCCTGTCTCCAGCCCCTATCCCTGTGTCCCAGGTGAGAGGGTCACCAGCTGGGCTGACCAGGGTATGAACAGCATCCTAGTCCAGCTTCAGCGGAACTGAGGCCTGGTTCTGAGCTCCTGATGCCCCCTGGAGACCATGCCTGCTCTGGTCATTCTGGCTATCAGCATCCAGACTGCCTTCAGGGGGCATGTGCCCCCTCCTCCTGTCATTACTGGTACACAAATCTCACCCCAGCTGCTCATCTGCCTGGGGTCTGCTGAAGATCTGGGGCCTTCTCAGTGGAGCAGAATGGGAGGCAGCTCTGAAACCACAAACTCCCTTCTCTTCCCACCTACTTCCCACCTTCTGTATGGGAACTTCCAGTGCATCTGGTGAGCATCACGGAGTGGAGAATGTCAATGTGTTTTCTCCCACATCCTGCTCTGAATTTATGAGGCCAATTCATCCTCACCTCACACACGAGCTGCCCTTGTCTTCAGGGATTCGATCCTTGTTTCTCTCACATCCTGGCACAGTGTTGACAGCTTAGTTCTCACTTCACTCCATGAATCCTTTGGGAAACATCATGGTCAACAAATCGTGGTGCTTGGATAACAGACAATAAAATAACAAGTATTCAGAAGTTTGTGCATGGGGGAGAAATGACCCATTCTGAACAGTGTCTCAATAGCTGGGTGAGCCATAGAAGCTGGTTAGAGAGATCCCATATGGCTCCAATCAAAGGGGAGGCTGCTAACGAGCTGTGGGGTGCTTTTGTCCTGTGATCACCCCTGTAATCCTGTCTTATAAGCCACATATGACCTAATTCTATGAGCCACATGTGCTGCTCTGTCCATCAGGGGCCCAGGGGAGGAAAAGTCCACGGTAAGCTCTGGGCACAAAACATCCCTCTACCGGGAGCCGAGGCCCACTCCCTACCTCCTCCGCACCTGCTGCTTCATGTTCTCCAGACTCCCATTGAATCTCTCAGCATCCAAAGCCATCTATGAGTCAGTGCTTGACCCAGCAAGGAAATGAGGGGGGTTCTGAGCCTCCTGACCTTTGGGCTCTGTAGTGGGGAAGGGGCCATGGGGTGGGGCACCATTGCTGGGTTTTCATGTTCAAGCTCAACTTATCAAAGTTTAAAACCATACCTTAGAACAACAATTAATATTATATTTATTTACATGAAATGGCATATTATATTTATTATGTATGCACAGTATATACAAATGTATTAATACAACTTATATCTGAAATGTCATAGATATATATTTAATTTGTAAGGTATGTTACAAATACATATATACAGGTACAAATAATTTACTTTTATTTATTTAGCATGTGCTTCCTTTCCTTCTAACTATAACAGAGTCTGGCTGAGTAAAGACTCTGGAGACGTTGGATGACCCTCCCTCCTTTGCACTAGCAGGGTCCCCGCCACTCAGTATCAGTGAGGACAAGACTGAGGAGAGCTGGCCTAGGATCCCAGGCCCTGCCCCATGGTTTTTGTCTCTTACACTTTTACCCTGGATGCAGGGTTCCTGACAGAGGTTGCATTTGGAAGGTTTACAAAGAAAGGCTTCCAGAGTGTTAGTTCTGGATTCTGAGGAGGGTAAGTGGAAGGTGGGTCTGGATTTCCAGCATGGAGGAGGCCAGACCAAGTCTTAGGAAAGGCTCTAGTGTGGGAAGAAAGGACTTAAAACTCAGACCTGTGGCCACAGCCTTAGGAACCCAAGAGTGGACACTAACAAAATGGGCTCGGGGAAAACGCAGACTAAAGATGTTATAGTCAACTGTAATCTTATCTTTCAAATGCTACACATAAATATTGGTGGGAGATTTTATGGTGAAAATAACACACAATGAGCCCCACTGCCTACAGTCAGTTACCTGTTTGTTGTAGAATAACTATTGAAAAATTTGATTTTAAATCACATCTGGCTACTAACATATTGCACAGCCTCTTAATTCTATGATACTCAAGAGTGCATAAAATAAAAAGGGACTGGAGATATATATATATATATGTGTGTGTGTGTGTGTGTGTGTGTATGTGTGTGTGTATATATATATGTATGTATTATACACACACACACACATTTCAAAGCGAATTATGTGGTTCAACCCTCAGGACACTCCATGGTGTTCACAGGGCTGCAGTGCACAGCTGGAAAAAACAATTATCAGAGCTCATGGTTGGTTTGCACAGTCACGTGGTCAGCGTGGGCTGGGCTGGGATTTGAATCTACATATATCTGACCTTAGTGTGTTCCTTCCATGTGACCACTTTCATCTCACAGAAGAGCCCACAGCCTGTAAAAAGGGAGAAGAAACCATAAGGACAGTGTGGAATCCACAGCACCCTGTGGCCTCTGACTCATGCTGTGCTCACCTTAATCTTCAATTAGCTTTATTTGCAGTTTTCTAATCAAAGCACAAGTCTCTCTGAGCCTCTACAAACTGCAAATGACTGTATTTTAGATTTCAGAGCTGAGACACATCTTGATTCCCTCGACCTCCAAAATGCCTCTTTCTCTTCGATCTATCTGACTCAATTCTTCCCTCTCAGATTGTGTCATGCAAATTTAATTTGCCCTCCAAAGATGAAAACAAACAACCTGGCCTTTCTCATCTGCTGTGAGAGCTGACCCCTAGGCTCTCAGATACACATATTGTACAAGAGCTAATCAAGGGATTTGACCCCAGAGATTCTCTATCTTAGATGAATTCTGATGCTACCTCCCCTTACAATATAGTGATCTCCAACTCTTGTCAAAATGGACAGCAAATGATAGCAAGGTGGAAATATTTTGGAGAACAGAGGACAGCCATGCACTCAGAAAGACTGAAGCCATCTCTTCCTCTTGCATTCGTTTTCTATTGCTCATGAAACAAATTACCATAACAATACTGGATTGATACAACACAAATCTATTATCCTATAGCTCTAAAGGTCAGAAGTCTCATGGAGCTAAAATTAAGGGGTCAGTAGGGCTCCATTCCCTCTGGAGGTTCCTAAGGAAGAGAATCTGATTTTCTGCTTTTCCTCATCAAGATGCCCCAACATTGTCTGTTCTATAGTCTCATCCCCCATTACTCATGCATCCCTCTCCATAGTCCCAGCTGCTCTCTCGCTGTTACCCTCCACCCTCCCTATTATAGGACCTTGTGATTCTGCTGTCTCACCCAGATAATCCAGGATCCTCTCTTGTCCTCAAAATCCTTAATCTAATCACATTTGCTAAATTTCTTTGAACATACAAGGTAACATTCATAGGTTTCAGATATGAGGACATGAATGTCTTTGGAGTGTGTAATATTTATTGTTTTAGCAACACTTACGATTTTCCACAACTGTTCTCAAAGTAAAATAAAAAAGTCATGAGGCTGATTGATGAGGCAAGAGAGCCGGAAAAAAATTGAAACTTGGGAACCCTCTGACCTATTTATTCCACTGCCTCCAGTGTGGAATCCATGGTATATAGCATTGTGGAATTTTTTGTATTGTTTTGTTTCTTAAGACAGGATGTCACTCTGTGGACCAGGCTAGAATGCATTGGCACCATCACGGCTCACTGCAGCCTCAACCCCCTGAGCTCAAGCAATCTTCCCACCTCAACTTCCTGATAAATGAAACTGCAGGAACGTGCCACCAAGCCTGGCTAAATTTTGTGTTTTTCGTAGAGATGGAGTTTTGCCACCATGTTGCCATGGCGTGTCTTGAACTTCTGGGCTCAAGCAATCTGCCCATCTAAGCCTCTGAAAATGCTGAGATTATAGGTGTGAGCCACTGCACCTGGCTGTGGGTAGGTGTTTTTAAAGGCTTCTTTTGTTTTGTGAGTCAGAAGAAATCGACTGCATAAATCAAATCCAAGATAGTTGGTGAAGGGAAATTAAGGGCTTACTGGATTTTCTTGTGCACCAAGAAAGGAAAAGTGATAAGAATTGAGAACAGAGATACCTTCTTCCAAGAATAGGGATTTGTTCCCCCTTGAACTGGGTTCACCAACAAGAAGGAACTGTGTGCAGGCAGCCTATTTACACTGAGAGGGAAGGAGGAAAGTGTAGCAGGAAATAGAGGATGGGTGACAACAGTCTCCCCCAAAAGTCACCTAACTCTTAGGATGACTGAAGCTCCATCCCATGTGGAAGCATGGGGACAATGCCTCTGGGCTATCCCATTTGAGAGGAGAGAGCTGGGGTGTGTATACTCGTACTCCTGTTCTCATCTATTGATGGTCGCCTCGGTTAGTCTTTTGTGTCTTTGTATAACAGAATGTCTAAAACTGTAATTGATAAAGAGCAGACAATTATTCTCTCATATTTCTGGAGGATGGGAAGTGTAAGATCAAGGTACTGTCAGATTAGGGTTTGGTTTATCTACTTTCAAGATGGCATTATGAATCCTGAGTCCTCCAGAAGGAAGGAAGTCCATGGCCTACATGACAGAAGAGAAGAAAAGAGAGAGAGAGAAAGCCTACTCCCACAAGTGGGAAAGAGCAGAGACTCACTCTCAGGAACCTGCAACCCCCACACTCCAAGAACGGAAAGAACAGAAAATCCTGAGTCTCTTCAAAGGAAATTCCAAGCACCTACCTAGCCTTAAGAAGTAAGTAAGTAACATGATAAGCAAGGAAGTAATAACCTAAAACAAGAGCCAAATAAGTTAGACGCACAGGATGGTGGGTTCCCCTATAGAAATTGAAGATGACATTGTAATAGATGTCTCTGAGGTGTTTTTCAGAAAACAAGACCCCCTCCAAATGAATAGGCCAGCACATAGACCTCACAAAAGGGGGAACTGGGGACTGAGCTCTGACCATGGTGCTTTGTTCTAAACATCTTACAGAGGGGCCTGGTAAAAGTCTTATCCATAAACCTGAGCTAATGTTCTCTTCTGCTGAATCCAAATTTTTAAACAAAGCTTTTCTTCCTTAACCAATTGCAAATTTAGAAATCTTGTAATCTACCCTTCATCTGTAAGCCCCTGCTTCAAGATGTCCTGCCCTTTTAGGCCAAAACCAATATGTGACCTCCATGTATTAATTTTCAATTTTACCTGTAATTTCTACTTTCCTGAAATTTACTCCTACCTTATAAAACCCTTACTTGCAAGCCGTCAGTGAGGCCAGGATTTGAGTCTTAGCTGCCAGATTCTCTTTACCTGATGTCCTACAAACAAACAAACACTTCCTTTCTCCTGCTGCAAACTCGGTGTGAATATCTGATCTCACTGAACTGAGTGAGTGGACTGCAGTTCTATTCCATAGCACAAGCCCTGTTTAGAGTGGCATTTATCCATTCATGAGGGCAGTGACCTCATGACTTAAACCCTTCCCATTAGGTCCCACCTCCCAATTCCATTGCATTGAGATGAACTTAACAACAGATGGGTTTTGAGGGACACAGGAAAATCATAACACTCTCCAAAGAGAGGCTCATTTGAGCCCCTGTGGTCTGCTATGCATGCAGGCAGAGCTGCCTTCTCCAGCTTCAGAAAGAGCAGTGAGGGGCGTAGATGGCCACGGGAAGTCAGCAGCAGTACAATGAAAGGGAAAGGATAGCGTATAGACAGGGATTGCAATCTAGATACGTTTCCTATTTAATTTCCATTCCAAAAAGAGAATACTTTCATGCTAACAGAAGTGTTGTAGGTACATCACAAAGTGCTTTCTTCCATTTGAGTGCATACTGTATTTTTAAAAAATAATCTCCATGCACGAATAAACTATATTTCTCCATCTAGTCCTCAGGAATATTTCAAATTTTGACAATTAACTCAGAAAAGTCTTTTGTAACAAAACAGCCCCCAGGAAGAAACACTTATTTCCAGACAAATCTGTGCTTCCCTGGTCTGACCTGGGACTCTGGGGATACTGCCCCTGTGCTGAGTAACTGAGATCTGCCAGCCCTGCAGCAGTGCCCAGCCTGCCCCATCCCCTGCTGATTTGCATGTTCCCAGAGCACAGCCCCCTGCCCTGAAGACTTCTTAATAGGCTGGTCACACCCTGTGCAGGATTCAGTCCCAGTCAGGACACAGCATGGACATGAGGGTCCCCACTCAGCTCCTGGGGCTCCTGCTGCTCTGGCTCCCAGGTAAGGAAGGAGAACAGCAGGAATTTATTCAGCCAGTGTGTTCGGTACAGACTGGCTCATCATGGAAACCTCCTTATAATATGATTAATAGTATGAATATTTGTTTTTATGTTTCCAACCTCAGGTGCCAGATGTGACATCCAGATGACGCAGTCTCCATCCTCCCTGTCTGCATCTGTAGGAGACAGAGTCACCATCACTTGCCGGGCGAGTCAGGGCATTAACAATTATTTAAGTTGGTATCAGCAGAAACCAGGGAAAGCCCCTAAGCCCCTGATCTATTATGCATCCAGTTTGGAAAGAGGGGTACCATCAAGGTTCAGTGGAAGTAGATCTGGGACAGATTATACTCTCACCATCAGCAGTCTGCAGCCTGAAGATATTGCAACATATTACTGTCAACAGTATATAATTCCCCTCCCACAGTGTTACAAGTCATAACATAAATCACCCAGCGGAGCAGATGTGTGAGGCTCAGTGGTCCCAGATGCCCCTTATGGTGCCTCCACCTGCTGAGAGTGTTTCTCAAATCGCAGTCACACTTTGAAGGTCACTGGAGAGTTTTTGTAAAAGAGCCATGAAGGCCCACTTACTCATAGCTGTCTTTCCTTGTCCTAATCCCCAGTAGCACAGACAGGGCAATGCTTCTGATTTCATTGAGAAGAAAGGATTACACCTGAGGAGTCTGAGTTGTGGCATCAGTTGGAATTCATACAGCAAAAATGAGCCACTCTAGGTATTCCAAGTAGGATTTTTTTTTAACACAAGGTGTGAGAATCTAAACTATAGCCTTTTAAAGGCTTACGGGTATAGTAGTCAAAGATGTAAATACTAGAAAAGAGGAATTCTCTTCCAGAATCCAGAATGCATCTGACAGAGAAGGTGCAATTGCCAATCGTGTGGTCTTTAGACGTTTCTGAGAAGCCCATGGGTGGGAGTGCAGATGCTCTCAGCTGCCTGGAGGACTTCACCAGGTGCTTCTGCAGTCCTCACCTCTGTCCAAATGTCTTGCAGCAGGTGCTGATGGATAATATTGAACCTTCCCCTTCTTACTTCTCAATCTCAGGGTGGGCCCCTCACTGGGCAACTCTACCAAAAACCAGAGAAGGAAAACGGTTTCTGGCAAATGTGTTTCCAGAATGATAGTGATGATGGGGAAGTGACAGCTGACATCCTAGTGTGGTCACGTATCCCGACTCTCAGAATTTTGTCAGTGAAGTAATGGCCTCAGAATACACTTGGATGTACTTCCATATACTATGAGTAAGTTTCAAATCGTAGCAAGAAAATGATATTTAGTCATATGATAAATAGAACTACGTGGCTACATTAATCAAAACAGCATAGTGCTGGTACAAAAAGAGACACAGAAAAATGGAACAGAATAGGGCACTCAGAAATAATGCTGGAGACCTACAACCATCTGATCTTCAACAACCCTGACGAATACAAGCAATGGGGAAAGTACTCCCTATTTAATAGATAATGCTGGGAGAACTGGCTAGCCATATGCAGAAAATGGAAACCGAACCCCTTCCTTACACCTTATACAAAAATGAACTCAAGATGGATTACAGACTTAAATGTAAAACCCCAAACTATAAAAACCCTAGAAGAAAATCTAGGCAATACCATTTAGGATATAGACATGGGTAGAGATTTCATGACGAGAATGCCCAAAGCATTTGCAACAAAAAAATTGACAAATGTGATCTAATTAAACTAAAACCTAATATTGACAAGTGACAAGAGACAAAATTAAATTAAAAGCAAAAATTGACAAAAGCAAAAATTGACAAATTAAACTAAAGCAAAAATTGACAAACGAGATCTAATTAAACCAAAGAGCCTCTGCACAGCAGAAGAAACTATCTCAGCATGAACAGACAACATTAAAAATGAGAGAAAATTTTTGCAATTTATTCTTCTGACAAGGGTCTAATATCCAGAGTCTCTAAGGAACTTAAACAAATTTAGAGCAAAAAATAAACAACCCCATTAAAAGGCTGGCAAAGGACATGAATAGACACTTCTTTAAAAAAGACATACATGATGCCAATAATCATACGAAAAAAAGCTCACCATTACTAATCATTGGAGAAATGCAAACCAAAAACACAATGAGATACCATCTCACACCAGTGAGAATGGCGATTTTTAAAAAGTCAGAAAACAATAAGCTAGGCATGGTGACTCACACCTGTAATCCCAGCACTTTGGGAAGCCGAGGTAAGTGGATCACTTGAGATCAAGAGTTCAAGACTAGCCTGTCCAATATGGTGAAACCTCATCTCTACTCAAAATGCAAAAATTAGCCAGAGGTGGTGGTGGATGCCTGAAATCCCAGTTCCTTGAGGGACTGAGGCACAAGAATCGCTTGAACCTGGAAGGCGGAGGCTGCAGTGAGCTGAGATCGTGCCACTGCACTCCAGCCTGGGTGACAGAACAATATCCCTTCTCAGATTAAAAAAAAAAAAAAATCAAAAAACAACAGCTGCTGGCAAGGTTGTGGAGAAAGAGGAAAACTTCTACACTGTTAGTGGGAATGTAAATTAGTTCAACCATTCTACAGCAAAGCAGGTTGTATGTCCAGCACAAGACTGTGGAGGTGGGGGACTAGCTTAATACCCACTGCCGCTTACAGGCTGGGGTACTTACAGGTATGGGCGGGAGGGTTCTGGGCAGTACGACTTGCTGCCTGACAGGACGTTAATAAGATATTCCTGTGGTCAGGCGGTTATGCCAAGGATATTCTTTGTACCCTTTGCCCAGCAGGGTGTGACAAGAATGTTTCTTGGGCAAACTGTCCAGCAGAAGATGAGAGGGATGTCCCTGTAGTCAGGTGGTTAGGCAGGATGTCTCGCACAGTCCCAACCCCCGTGGAATGTTTCACTTTGACCAAGGTCTACAAAATGGCGAGTGGCTTACAAAATGGTGCACTTCGGACTAACAGATAGGAAAAGTCTATGGCCTTTTGCCTGGAGCTGCTTTTTTTCACCCAAACTTCAACAGGAATTTTAGAAGTCTAGTTTTACCAAATGAAATGGCAGCAACAACTGGAAGCTTGTTGCCCAAGGGGATTGACTTGAGCTGGGATGGAGAGTAGGACAAGATCCTTCAGTGTTTTCAGCTAATGGTGCTGAACTCTGCAGGAAATGCCCAGAAAAAGTCCGGAGTTTTGCAAGTCCGAGTTGATGACCCTGGTTGGGGAGAGTGGTACACCAGTTAAAACTTGATAATGGATTACTGGAAACCATGCAGTCATAGAATTGTAGAGATCATCCCTGCACGCATTCTTAGAATGAGCAGATATGACTTAGCAATTGCATATTTGAGTGAAGAGACCCAAGTGGACCCAGTGAATTAAAATGAAGGAGGTGTCTTTTGTGTTCCCGCTTCAAGCTGCACACATACACATTGGCAGAAAGTAGATGATTGAGCTCAAGGAGTTTGAGCAACACCAATGCCCAAGTTATTGGTGATTACTAAACTGTGCAGCCACAGGTATGTCTTCTGGCTAAAACTTAAAAGGAAACAAAGCAGAAATATCAATGGCCAAAAAGCTAGTAAGGTATAGATTCTGCAGCATAAGTCCAGGCAAGCTATTAAAAGGAAATTCAACACTCTTAGAAAAATAAAACAGAATCCAGAATTATGAATTAGTTGAGACATGTACAAAAACATATTATCTACAATGCTCATTTTTCCATAAAAATTCCTGAAAAGAAAGAGAAACTCATAAACCATATTGAGATAAATCAGTCAGTGGAAGCTGACTCTGACTGTTCCTAAATACTGGATTTTGCTAAGAGTTTCAAGTGGTTGTCACATAAATGCTTCAAAGAATATTTAGAACTATGATCAAGGACTGAAAAAGGAAAACATAAAGACAATCACTCAAAGAATGGGGTCTCTCAATAGAGAAAGGGAAAGTATGGAAAAGGACCAAATAAGAATTCTAGTTGAAAAATATAAAAACAGTATGGAAAATTCACTGGATAAGGCAACAGGAGTTTAAGTTGGCAGAAGCATCAATGAAACTGAAGATAGTTTAATATAAATTATCAAATCTGAAAAAGAAAGAAAATAATTAAAGAAAAATAATCATGACCTTAGAGGTTTATCAGTCAATGTGAAGAACACCAGCAAATGTGCAATGAGTCAGAAAGGAGAAGACAGAGAGAAAGTGGCCAAAAATATTTGGAGGGATGACAAAAGCTTTCAAGAAGCCATGAAACACATTCATCTATAGAGGAAAATGTTGAAAGAACTTGTTTAGGACAAACACAATGATACACATAACTATACATATTATAATTAAGATGCTGAACCAATGATAAGGAGAAAATCTCAAATTCATCAAACATAAAACGACTCTCTATACACAGAAATACAGTGATAAAGCCATCAGCTAACTTTTCATCATGCCCAAAGGAGGCTAGAAAACAGTGGAATGACATATTTAAATGCTGGAAAACAAAACAAAACAAAACAAAAAACCAAGGATTTCAGTATCCACTGAAAGTATGCATTCAAAATAAAGGTAAAGGAAAAGCATTTCTTGATAAACAAAAATGAAGAGAAATCATTACTTAAAGACAAGCTCTTTAGAAATTCTCTAGGAAATTCTTCAGATTCACAAAAAATGATAGCAGACAGTAACTTGAATCCATAGGGAGGAAGGAAGGTCTCAAAAGTACTAAGGGAACAACAACAAAAAAAAAAGAGCTAGACCAAACAAACGTGTTTACTTCTGTTCATATGAGGTTTCATGTAGAGAAATCCAATCTATCTAGACAGACTTCAGAATGCCAGTTTCCTTCATTGGGATTGGGGAACGGCTGTTTCCTGAAAGGTAGGTGCATGAGGGAAGAATCTGGAGATTCTGAAGTATTCTACAGTTTAATCTGGGTGGAGAACATATGTAAAACTTTATTCAGTTGCATTATTTAACATTTCTGTCCTTTACTTTGTGTGTGTTTTATTTCAATTTTTAAAAAATTGAAAGGGCGAAATCTGAACTCTTTTAAACAAAAATGAACAAAAACATAAGAATTAGTAAATATTTGTGGAAATTTGGCCTTATTAACAAGAAGTATAAAATGTGCCTGAGAAAGTGCTATGAAACATGAAATCTGTTAGAAAAGACAGAAGGAAATACTTCAATTTCTCCCACATGGGCAGCATAGATTTTACGCCTGTTGGTTTCCCTCTGAACAGAGAAGACATTTTGAACAGAGAAGTCATTTTGTTCACAAGAGAGGCTCCCACCCTCCCGTTGGCTCTTTCCACCCCACTGCACCCACCAGGTGATTTGCATATTGTGCCCTAGGGAGGACCTTCCCTTGGGAGTCTGAGATAAAAGCTCAGCTCTAAGCTTGTCTTGACTGATCAGGACTCCTCAGTTCACCATGAGGCTCCCTGCTCAGCTCCTGGGGCTGCTATTGCTCTGCGTCCCCGGTAAGCGCAGAAGGGAGATGAGGGAGGAGAATGGGGTGTAAAGGTGAGCTCTGGGGTTCCCACTGCCTCCTATGAGCAGTGAGCTGTGGGGGCCTCACTACACTCCTATGTGTGTTCCTTTCATGTATTGCACGTGCACATCTTGTCCTCCAGGATGGGGCTTGTGATATTCAGATCTGTGAGAGTGAGGAATATTCAAGAAGAAACAAGGATCTGTGCACCGGGGAAGACTGACACAGAAAGAGGGGATGGTGTGGGGTCTTCTGGAGACCACTTTGAGCCATGGATTCCTAGAGTTTCATTTTGAAATTTTATATTCTTGAAATATGAACAAATAAATATATAGCCTGAAACAAACAACAAATCAAAATTTATGAAAATGATGCATAAAGTATCTACATAACCTTGCTCTCTTTGTATTTATTTCAGGATCCAGTGGGGATGTTGTGATGACTCAGTCTCCACTCTCCCTGCCCATCACCCCTGGACAGCCGGCCTCCATCTCCTGCAGGTCTAGTCAAAGCCTTGTACACAGCAATGGAAACACATACTTGAGTTGGTATCAGCAGAAGCCAGGCCAACCTCCAAGGCGCCTAATTTATGAGGTTTCTAACCGGGACTCTGGGGTCCCAGACAGATTCAGCGGCAGTGGGGCAGGGACAGATTTCACACTGAAAATCAGCAGAGTGGAGGCTGAGGATGTTGGGGTTTATTACTGCGGGCAAGGTACACACCTTCCTCCCACAGTGGTACAGCCCTGAACAAAAACCTCCCTATGGGGTGGCCCAGCTGCCCACATGTGGTGCTTGACTGGGGAGCAGCTCAGCAGGGTCTCAGAATCTGCGTAAGAGGAAGATGCTGGAGAAGCAGGGGACAATTCACAGCTGAGGACTCTGGACTTTGAGAGCCCAGCCACACCGCAAGCACCACTCCTTTATGCCCTGGCAGTTGCCACAACCTTGACTGTCATAAGCAGCAGGAGAATGAGGGGTCCAGGTGCCCTGGGAGTAAGCAAGCAAGATGGAAGGGAGAGGAGAATGAAAGCTCACCCTAATGCTCCCTGCCTTGTGTACATTTGCCAATTAAATGTAATCAGCAGAGCAGACAGACCATTGACACAGATTGTGACTATCCATGTTGGATACATCTTCGGGTTTAGCAGTTGAGGACATTTGATAATATTTAATATTGGTATTTTGCCAGTTTTCTAACTTTCTGCTTCCCCTATTGTCCCACTCCCAAAAGGCAGTAGAGACAACAATCTATACTAGTTACCGTAAGGGGAAGCTGGCTGAGGATAGTCAGTGAAAACCTTGATTTTGGAGTATCAAATAGATTTTTGTAAATTCATGGAAGATACAACATCCTAATGCTAAAACTGTTTAATTAGCCTTAGTTACCTTTTAATGATAGAAAAAATGCAGGGATGAAAGCTTGAAGGAAACATAGGAGAGGTCAGCTTCAGTTAAACTGCCCTTGGCCTTTGGTAGGTAGGGATGTGGATGGTGGTGGAGTTGGCAGTTCATGATGTGGACCCAGGAGGCCTGATATGTTTTTTGTGAAGAATCACAGAGTTGAAGGCACCACTACCTGGCTTCCTGGGTGGACCCTGCATCACTGTGAATTTCCTGGGAAAATAGTGCTTTAGGAAGCGTTTTAGATCTGTGACCACCAAAGGCTTACTGAAATCGCTGTGGAAAGAGACCTGAGGTCATGTTGCTCATATCTTGTCAACCCAACACAGCCAAACAGAGCATCTGAAACTCATTCTGTCCCTAGAGACTGCTGGTTGGGTCTGGAGATGTCACAAGCACTGACATGCTGAGCAGAAGGCCTAGCAGGGTCTACACCAACAGGGGGTGGGCAGTGGGGGTGGAGACCGGTGTCCATGACTCAGACATGTATTCGGGATGCTCTGTGCAGCCTTGGGGATTGGGGGAGCACATTGTATCTGTGGGAGTTTTATGTCTTCCTCACCCAGCACCTCCATCCCTGGCTGTTGACTCAGACCTCAACACGTGTCCCATAGAAAGCACGGAGCACATGTAGAGGCTGCCCTGTGCAACCCCCAAGGCTCAGCTGGATTCTCCTTTCCCAGGAGAGCTCCTCTGCCTGTGCCAAGTCAGAGCTTGTGTCCATAGGCAAACTTGGCGGCTGTGGCATCCACTCCTCATTCCTTCCACTACTTTCTAACGTCATTAAAGTCTAACTTTGGTATTCCGTTATTTTAAATGGTTTGTACTTTTTGCAGTGGTTGTTTTGGCCTTTCCACTTTTATCTACTTCACTGTACCTGAGAATGAAGATTCCTTCCATTGTTTTAACACAAGTAAATTTTAGAAGTCACTACGTTGGTACTATTTGGTCAAAAAAAAAGGAAAATATTTTCAAACAATAAATGGAATGTATTATTTTCACTGTATCTGGTCAGTACTTGGACATAACCCTGATTCCCACATTCTTGTAATAGTGATATAAAAAATATACGCTTTACAGAGAGTTTAAAATAGTGCTCTATGAATATCTGTGAATTAATAATGAGCCTGTCATTTGCCTGCTGTGGCATGGTATGACTAAAGTAAAACGATGTTACAATCAACGGGATAAAGTAATCCAGATTTAAAGAAGTGTGTTATATTAGAGACGATTTTCTATTAAAGAGAATGGATTCCATGACAAGTATAATTAAATCTGTAGCTTTAACCGGACAGACCACATAGACAGTAAAAATTAGGTTTATCACAAGTGGTGTATAAGACCAAATTAATGACAAGTCTCCAGAGTATATTTTCACACATACCAACAAGTAAGGACACATATACAATCAAAATTTTATTCATTTCTTCATCACAGGCACCAGTTTGCAGCCTGGAGATGCTGCATGTTCTCCTGTGAGCGGAACAATCACCAGCACCCTGCACAGCCTGAGGACCTCAAACATAGCCTCCCTAGGATGCTCAGCCTCTCAGTGCAGCACCAGTAACTGCAGTGCCCCGAGATGGAGCCCACAGCTTCGCCTGAAGAGTCTTTGAAAAAGAGGCCATGAGTCCTCACTTACAGGCATGGGCTCCTCTTCTGTGCGAACAGGGCCAGGGCCCTCCGGGAAGCCTCCCAGAGCCTCTTCTTTCCTCCAAATATTGGGTGCTCAGGCCCCACAGATTCTCCAGGGAGTGGTTGCCATGTCCTCTTTGGAGCAGCCATGAAGTTCCCTGCTGTCCTCATGGCGTCAGGGATGCTACTTCACGTCACTGGGAGGGGATCCTAGTGGGTCGTGATCTCACCTGCTGCCTCTGATGACCTTCAGGGCACTTCCTCCTCCTTTTGCCAAATGACCCCACTCTCACCAACCCTCTGGAGGAAGGAAAGCTGTCCGCACTGCACGATTTTTGCTTTTGAGCAAGTCAAGGCTCACAGGGGTCTCACACTTGCACAGCCCATATTAATATTACATGATTCCTATTTTCACTTTTCCTATCTTCCAGTTTTCTCTGCACACTTACTCGCCCTGCCCGTCCACTTTCTCTTGTGAAGCTGCTAATGTGGGTTTTTATTTCCAGGCTGATGTGACTCTTTGCTGCAATACTAGACATGTGCTCATCACATGCCCACATTTTTAAGAATAAAATATTTTGAGCACAATTTGCTCTTGTTGTACTCGTATGTCAGGGTGGCAACTCAGGGGATTGGTCTGAAAATGTATTTGCTAAAATGCATGAACATTTCTAGAAATTCAAGGTTATAAATTCAATGCCTTCTTGCATTCCACAAATTTTGATATGTGTTTTCTTTCACTTCAAATTTTTTGAAATGTCCATGGATCTCAGGCAGTAAGCGCTGCTCCACAGACTGAATCGGCAGTGCAGTTTTTGTGACTGTTCCAGACGCTCTGCCTGGGGCCTGTTCTTAAGGCTTCCCAACAATTTTTGAGCTATTTAATATTCCATAATGAATCCCTTTATGCTTAGTGCAGTTGACATTTGTAACCAATACTAATGACCACTCTACACCGAGGGCATTGTTGCCTCCTTTTTTCTAGCTCTATATAATGCTTTCCAGGTGAACCTACTAGAGAAGGCCAACATGAATAACCTTCATGTCATCAAAAGTGTGTGACAAATTAGCTCAGAGGAGCCACCAGGTTTTCAGTCAGCTGCAGTATCTCATGACGCGAAAAGAGGAGACTGAGGAATCCACCTGTAATCCTTTAGTCAGTCTTTCTGCACCCTTAGGTAGGGTCTCCACATGCATGTACTCATCAGTGCTCTGAGGAATACCGAGGGAAGCATCCGGGGATAGCTTGGGCTTTCTCTGAACTCCCTCCTCTGTTTCTCTGTCTTTCTGGACCACCAATTCCTTTTCCTCTATTCAGGGACACTCCCAGGTACCTCATGGATTTCCTTTTCCTGCACAATGCTCTAGAAACTCTCCTCAGGGTCTCAGAGGGATCAATCCAAATTTCATCCCCTTTCATTTAAAACCTTCTGGGCTCAATATCCTTAATTTCTAATATCCAATTTCTTGAAAAGAATTGTTTCATGTATTTTGTGCTGTGTTTTAGTTAATCCAGGGAAGAGTGTAAATCTAGACCATTCTAATCTATTTTGGCTACAGGTTGAATATCTGGAAGCCCAAGTCTGAAGTTAGAAATTTGTTGCTCCTCAAGGTTCTTCACCAGCACCTGGCAGTGTGGGGATAGCAGGTCATGCTTTAGGGTTGCAATTGGGACTTTACTGCCATTCCCTTATCTCTTGCTTTTCCCACACCACACAAGGTCTCCTGAACACATATACAGACAGTTCCCACACATTCACATGCCATCCTGCTTCCCAACAGCAGAAACCTGGCCTCACTTTGTGCCTGTGGGGGAACACCTACTGCGTAGCTACTCTCAGGAGAATGAGCCCAGAGAAAGGGCCAACTCCCTGGAAGTTAGGGTTAGAGCGTTTGAATTTGTAATTTCAGGGCCCCAAGTACCAGGGTGTGATGTAGAAGAAAATTGGCTCTATATTGCCATAGTCTCTCTGTGGGAAAGACTGGAGGAGAGCCAGGTGAGGGGCCTTCACTTCTGGGGCCCAGAGCAAGAGGCCCCTCTTGTTGGGTGTGCATGTAGCTTTGATTGATGCGTTATTACTGAGACATTCGATAGCTCCATTGAAATCCAAGATTGGAGACCTCCAACCACCATGCTCTGTCAGTGTCCACAGGGCCCCTTTATGATCCAGCAGGTTGTTGAGGACTCGCCGGCCTTGATGAGTTGGCAGCAGAGCTAGTTTGTCTCTAGCCTCATCCTCCCTTCCTCCACGTCTTCCCTGAAACTCAGCAATTCCCCAGGTGATGTGATCTTGTCTTCCTCCTACTTTGAAGAGAATTGATCCTCAGTGATTCTGGGGTATTCAGGGTTATATATTTATCCTAATTCAGGCTTCAGTTTCACGGACATCCTATTTGGTTGATGAAAGAAACTATTTGATTTGATTTTTATTTTTTGATAATCAAGTTTGGCATCCTTAGTCAGAACTTTCATGCTGATGAGCTGAGAGAAATAAAGTTACAAGGCACTAGGCAAAGTGGCTAACACCTATAATCCCAGCATTTGAAAGGCTAAGACTGTAGAATTACTTGAGCCCAGCACTTTGAGCCTAGCTTAGACAACACAGCGAGACCCCATCTCCACAACAAATGAAAAAATTAGCCAGGAGCGGTGACATACACCTGTGCTTCTGGCTACTGGGGAGGCTGAGACAAGAGGTTTGTTTAAGCCCAAGAGGTTGAGGTTG